GGTATCTTCCTTCTTTCTCTCTCTCTCTCTCTCTCTCTCTCTCTCTCTCTCTCTCTCTCTGGTCAATGAACAGTACCCTTCAATATTTAGAATCATTCGATACACAATCACAATGTGACAAAAGTATTGTTCCTGCAAACCAATCAACAAAAATTTCGCGATACAAAAAGCACGAAACAGTTGGAAAATCGAATTGTCCATCTGATTTTTTCCCCGTAAAATTAGAAACAACAAAAAATGCACATAAATTCAGGGAAGAGAAACGTGCGTCCCCGCGTGATTCTAGTAAATTCGCAGGCCTCGGCCACGGGCTTGGCGGAAACAGACAGAATTGACAGGCCACGTTCAAGGAGATACATCCAGGAAGAAATTCTACACGAATTTACAGCGATCAATGTTGGTTTCCTGCCAACGCCATCGAGTTGATCATAAGTACTAGAAATGATACAAAGCGATAAAGATAAATTACTTCGTCATCGTATCACCCCAGATTTTCTCTTGTTTAGCAGAGATAGCGCATTAAACGGCGCGATCATTGCGTCCTACTTTCAATTTGATCCTCGCGATCTACTTAAGCTTTCCAAATGTATTCAATTGTCAACACTTACTCACCATTAAATTTTAGCTGACATTACGTTTACGTCTATTGGATTATTAATTTATTTATTAACGCGAAGGAATCTCTTTTTAGAAAAAGAAAGAATGGAATATATCGAAAAAGAAAGAAAATACATCCTAGATAGACAAGTGTACGTAAATTTGACAGAAAATTTATCAGTTAAATGATAAAGACTGCATCCTTTATGAGTAGTTCATATAACACTCATACTTTTTACAAAAAATGAAAAAATACACGGAGAGTCTTGTAGTAAATATTACTATATATAGAATTGTTTAACCGAGGAACAGATCGATTTTCTGCACACTGAGAGGGAAAATATAAATCTATATAAGTAATAAAAAAAATATATTTTCTTTTATTTACTTATTTATTTATTTATTTATTTATTCACAGTATGGGCACTATAACATGTTTATACTAAAATATTTTTCAAATAAGAATATATACATTTTACATATATACATAGATGTATATACATATATACATCTTATACATGACATTTTGTTCAAACTTTAACTTTTTGTGGAAACAATTATTTATCCTACTTAAATAAAAGAATTCAGATTTATGTTATTATTACTCATTTATATCACATAATATAAAACATTTTGCTTTCTCAATATATTTTCCTTCAGTGCAATTATTTATTATCCTCCCATTCCATATATATATATGCCATTTATATTTTAGAAATTATATGTTATTAAAAAAGTTCAATATGTTTCTTAAAATCCTTAAAATAAATCTTAGTAACACAGCCTATTTTTATACTACTAAAAATATACTAAAATTGAAATAAATTTATATAAAAAAAAGTTATAATATATTTCCTCCACGTAGAAGTATGAAAAGAATAATGAAAATTTCTCAAAACACACGATATATGTATTAAAATGTAATACGAAAATGTAACTTTTAGTGAATTTGTTGGTGTATTAATATATACAAAAGATTAACATTTTATGATATAAATTTAATGATTAATTCTTTCAATACATAGTATATTTATCTCATAAATATAATTAAAAAATTATAGTTTCTATCGATTGTTTAACGTTGTGGTAACCATCAAAGCCTATTTGATACACAGAATATATCTAAATAAGTAAGTGTACTTAAACATCGTAGCGACTTTACTAGTCAATTTTTAAAAGTTACGTCCCTTATGAGTGGTTCAGATGGCATACATATTCACCGCATAAAGAATGACGAAATGATATATAAAAGAAATGCGAGAAAAGTACCCAAATTTGCTCGGAACGTACGTCACGTGAAATATAATATAAAAATCGGAGAGTGTGGCTTTTAATAAATTTATTACTGCAGTAATATAACAAAATATTAACATTACTGTACAATGTAAATTTAATGATTATTTTATTGCAGTATACCTGCCTCACATAAGCGTAGTAAAAATTATTTTTATTTTCATCATCAATTGTCTCACGTCGCACAAAGTTGCGTTATTCTCGTTCTTATGGACAAAAATCGGTATTTAAAATCTGTTCAAGATATTAATCTAAAATTTTATATACGTGAATTATGTACGAAAAATAATGTTTTCCTTATAATCACTGACCAAATTTGGAATAATCAAGACAGTGAGGGAGGAAGGGGATATATCAATTGTGGAAAAAGTGAAATACTATTTACTTTTATTATTAATACCAATAATATATAATATTATTATATATGATTGATATTTTAGATCACTTAAGACGAAAACTATACTAAAATAAATACTAAACTAAAATAAATAAAATAAATAAATAAAATAAATAAAACTATACTTAAATTAATTTATAATATATTATAATGACAACTATACAAATAGGTTAAACAAGAAAATTATTAATAAGAAACAATTAATAAAATAATTTTAATAATAATTATATTTCTGTCTAAAAAATGTTTTTTCACCAATTTCTGGTGGTTTCAACCGGACTCCCTAGCGCTTTCTGGTTGTAGTTTTTCACTTCTAAGGGCCATTTTCATAATCTTCAGTTAACTTCAACTACGGTTATCCCACTAGGCATTGACTAATCGTATTTGACGTTGATCAGACCAATCACTGTTGACGTTTAACCAATAGTTAAAGCTAACCATAAATCCTAAGTCCTTAAATCCTGAAAATGATCCTAAGTCGCTTAGGCACATACTTGTGCAAAAAGTATATTTTTTTCATGTAAATAGTGCTTTAAACTCATAACACCAACATTAACACAGCGTAACTCAGTGTACAATGCACAATGCGCGTGACATTTTTATTCTTTTTATAGAATTTATCAGTAATTTAAATTATGGAGCGTACATGAAAAGTATCAAGACATATGAGAACTGATGGTAGCTTATTAGAAAACTGTATAGGTATTTTTAAACTATGAATTCAACTGTCTGATACTGTGAATAATATGAACCTTTAATATAGGTAAGATTTTGCTCACATGACAGTTTTGATTTCTTCAATTTCTAGAACTATTGAGTAAAAAATTTGATAAAAAATTTGTGTTATTTATGCGTTTTATTATATTTCAAATACTATATATTTTTAGTTTGCAAGAAGAAAAATTTTGTATGTTACTTTGTTTGATAAAATGACTTTTTGCCATGAAAACATGCTCTTCGCAACATTGTGCGTCGTGGTAATCGTAGAAGTCCATATATCAAAGATTATTTCATATTAACAGATTCATCTTATATATAACAATCACCGGTGATCTTTTTATGACGCGGCGAGTGTGTTAAAAGTAATCGACATGAGACAAATTCACTTCGGAAACAACTTATGTTTCACAACCTGCGGCGTACACATATGATCACCGAGAACCATCGAGCGAGTCGAAAATTTCCCGGCCACGGGTATCGCGATCCTCGCAGAAAATTTGCAAGCGGAGAATCGCTCTCGGGCAAGAAACTTGTCACACCTCGCCACCGAAACGGATTCTCTCCTTCTCTCCCTCTCTCCTTCTCTCCTTCTCACCTTCTCTATCTCTCTCCTACTCTCTCCCTCTCTCTTTCTCTCCTTCTTTCTCGCGTGGACGATACGTGACAAATCTCCTCGGATTCCTTCAATCTTTCTCGACGGGGAGCATGCTTCTGCCCGTGGCGAGAGGTTTCGCGGAGCAGAGAAGGGGGAGAGAGAAAGGGAGACAGAGAGAAACCCTCTCGTAACCCGAGTCGGAGCCACCCCGTCTTGGGCCGAGCTCCTCGAGGAAAGCTCAGGGCGATTACATCGAATTCTTTCCCCGGAGCAGACCGCCCGCTCACCCTATCGGCCACCCTATCTCGTCGCACCCTTCCCTCTGTCGTCGTCCACCGCGTCCTCTCCTCTCGTCCTCCTGCGCCTAACCCCTCGCCACACGCAGCCCCGCGTTGGAGTGTTTACTCGCGTGCTCGAGTTCTGTCAGTATCACACGCTGTCCGCCAAACAAATCGATCCCCTTCACCCAGTTCGCGTGTTCGCACGGGACTTTCGGAGCGTATGTGCACGGCACAGCGCGACGCGACGCGTCGCTCGACCGATTCCATCGTCTTCGTCGTGTGGCCCGCGAAGTCCGGAAGGGAAACGCACGATGACGCGATCGCGGTCGCAAGTCGCGGCGCGTGAACGAACACGGAGATCCGGAGTGCCTCGCGCCCGTCACCGACACGATTGTAACCCCGATTGTAGGCACGGAGCCCACGCACACGTAGGGGTAGGCTCGTTTCCGATATACACGGGGCTTTGAAGAATCGACCTTCGTGCCGTTATCCGTGTAGTTAACGAACGACACGGTCGCCCCGCGGGAAGATTTATTTCCCTGCTTTCGAACGGCACGCATTCCCGCGCCATCCCCCGACGCTCTCTGCACGCGGCCAACGATCGAACGATCGCTCTCTCTCTCTCTCCCTGTCTCTCTCTATCTATCTATCTCTCTCTCCCTCTCTCTTTCTCTCTCTCCCTGTTCGTCAGGACGTCGATGTGGAGCGGAAACGTCCGGGAACGATACGAGTAGAGCTCGAGATTGAGACGTCCGAGCTTTCCGCGGGGATAATTGCGCGAAAGCAACGCATCGGATTCTGGGTTCACAGCCTCCGTTCGATTGCAACGCGTTCCAGGATTGGCAATCCGAAGACCGGGCGGAATCCCTTCGCAATTCGATCACGCATTACGACAGCGAGCCGCATTACGGCCGCGATCTCTGTGCCTCCCCGGGATCGAGGCCAAAGGGGAGAGCACGCACAAGGCAAGGGCAAACAAAGGCGGACACGTTCTCTCGGGCGCGCGGCCAGCTGCGCGCTCGGGGGATGAAAAGGGGGTTGGTCGCGTTGCACTGCGCTGCGCTGCGCTGTGCTGCGCCTCCGGAGGTGCAGGGTGTTCAATGCGCGCGCTACTTACATGTCCAAGGATCGGCCACGTTGAACGCCTGGCTTAGGTACCGAGAAGGCTGATCGCGCGGCCGACGACGGCGGTCAGCCGGCCGTCCGGCGCGACGTGATGCGGGAACGCGGCTGACGTTCCGACGACGCCGCTCAACGTCGCACGCACGCACGCACGCACGCATCCACTTGCAGTTTCGCAGTATCTCGCGAGTCACTGCGCACACAATTCGTCGATTTCGCGATCGACGCTTCTCGCGCCGTCAACGAGCACCGTGATCGTCGTCGTCATCGTCGTCGTCGTCGTCGCCAGCAGCGGCGTTATCGGCAGCGTGGACATCGTCAACGTCGGCTGCTCAGAGCTCACTCGGGGGGGGGCTAGTCCGTCACAACACAGGCCTCGTTGAAGCCGGCTGCTCAGCGCGCCCGGCAACGCGCGAAATGTGGTCCTCTCCTCGTCCGAGGCTCGCACGTCGCGCGATTGGCGGACCGATCGGCGAAAGGGAGAGCGATATCCCGGGTTCCTCCACGGCGCGAACGAGCCCTTTCTTCTCACCGCTGTCACCCGGACAATCCCCTTTTTTCTCGGCCGGCCGCTTGGTCACCGAGCCGGAAAAGGGCAAAGGGTAAGGAAGGGCGAGGGCAGGTGGAGGCTCGCGGTAGGCCTGCTGTTGGCCGTGCTCTCTCTCTCTCTCTTTTTCTTTCTCTCTCTCTCTCTCTCTCGCGACACCTCCGCTCGCGATCTCGACCCCCGGGGGTGCTCGCTCGTGTCGCGGGCGAGCGACGTGCGAGCTGTATGTATGTATGTATGTATGTGTATATATGTGTGTGTGTATCTACTCGTCGCCGTCGGAGCCGTCGTGCGCGACCAGCGACACGGGCCTCCTCACAGACGTTAGCGAGCACTCTGCACGAGCTCTCTCGGCCGGGGACACACGAACGGTACGAACGAACGAACGAACGAACGAACGCAGTAGTAGCGTACCAAACGGGGCGGCCAAAACGCGTCGGGGAAGGAGTAGGAGCAGGCGGTAGAGAAGTCGGATGCGGCGCAGGAGGAAGGAGGAAACCAGGCGGAGAGGGTGGTAGCGACGAGCGAGGGGTCGGCGCGGCGGTGAGAGCAACGCGGGCGACTGGGGATGGGAGCGACGGGGGTAGCGATGGCAAATGGGGGGGTGGTTCGCCAAGCCCGGTGGTCTCGCGCTCGCTCACTCTCGCTCGCTTCTGCCAGGCAGCCGCCACGCCAGCCGGCTCGCTTTCTCGTTCACCCTCTGCCGCCTTTACTGCCGCCACCGCCGCCACCGCCGCCGCTGCCACCACCGTTGCTTGCGCAGCAGCACCCCATCGCCGTTACTACCACCACCACCACCATCGCCGCCGCCGCCGCCGCCTCCGCCGCCGCCGCCGCCGTCGTCGTCGCCGCCGCCACCACCGCCACCCGCCGCCACGACCCGGCCAAACCCAGACCCAGCGCGGCGTAGGTACCGCGAGCTCGCGACTCCAGCTCCAGGCCACCCCAGCTGCTCGTCCCCCTCCATCCGCCGTGCATCCCCTTCCGGCCGTCAGTGCCGTATACAGACGTAGCGGCGCCTCGGCCGGCCGTGCTACCGTCGGGAGGACGCGCGAATCGACGAATTGATCCGGTAATGAGCGCGCGGATCGCCGCTGCTGATGGGTGGGACGGTGCTTGCGCTGCGGACGCGGCGCGACGCGACGCGCCGCGACGTAGGGATCCGAGAGACACGGAAATGCCGCGCTTAATTGTGGTCGCGTTCGCGACGAGCGGACGGACGGCAGCGACAACTGCTGACGTACCCCTGCGACGAACCCCTACGGGCCACCGAAGTGTCTCTTCCCCCCCCCCTCTCTCTCTCTCTCTCATACACAGACACACACTCCCTCTCTCTCGGTAGGTCGACGATATTGACGAATCAAGCGGCGCCGACCGAAGATCGAGACGGATGTTGTGAGGCACCTCGCGTGCCTCTCTTAATCTCGGATATAATGATTAATGACACGCGCTCGCCGATACGGCAAGCGAGCGCAGCTCGACGGAAGAGCTCACACAGAAGGGTGGCGTGCGTGCCGTGAGGAAATCGCACGTATTGACAAATTAAAGATCAAGGGAGCTCGAGACGAACGTAATAGTCTCGCATGAAATAAGTGTATCATCCTCTTTACGTCTCTTTCGACTAGGCAAAAATGTATAACTTCCGAGGGAAAGACGAGAATCGCGCTTGATTTCGGGAGGAGCGTGCCGCGCTTCCTCTTCCCCCACCTCTCTCTCTCTCTCTCTCTCTCTCTCTCTCTCTCTCTCTCTCTCTCGGTGATCTCGTATTAAATCGGATCGTATCGGGAGGTAACTGGATAAGAGTGGATAAGGTTGGATAGAAATCCCATCGGAATATATTTGGATCCATACGGATTTCACTCGATACCATAAGTTCGTATATGGAATTTTTCGGCGTGCCAGATAGGCAAAACCCGCCGTGCTTAGGAGGGAAGAGAGGGGGGGCTGGAGAGTGAGAGCTGGAGAGGGCGGCTGAGAAGCCCGGCGAAGCCGACGCCGATGAACTCCGCGGAGACTCGGGGCGCGGACCGGCGGAGATATTTTTATGAAAAATTCAGCTCGCACGTTTGGCGAGGAATTTTTTAACGAGCGACGCGGTAAAAAGTTCGCTACGAATTGGAAATTCCGACTGCATTAGCGAACTTTCGCGTTCGGGATGCGCGCGCGTACGCAGCTCGGCCCGACTATTATACGCTAAGAGAGAGCGTGGCGCGCGCGCGAACAGTCAAGAACGAACGTTTTAGAAGAAAACAAAAAAGGTGGAACAAGAGGAAAGCGAGAGGAAGGGGAAGGGACGAGGAAAAAGACACAGAGAAGGTGGCCACGGAAGGGACAAAGAGAAAGAACGTCGGAGACATTACTTGACCCAGTTCTCCTCGCCCCTTAGTTGAGCCGCGCTTATTTCGCGCTTCTACGTAAATGGGCTTCTCTTAAAACGGCCTGGCAATCAAATACATACGTATAAATGGACGTGTCTCCGCGTCTCTCAACGGGGATTTTTACGACGGCGGCGCGATCATGTTCGCGCTCGCAAAGTGGCACTTGGTTATACGATTGAGAATTGTAACGCGACTCGAAACGCGCATCGCGTTTCCACCCTTCGCTACAAGACCAGTTGTCACTAGAGATGAAGAACTATCGATGGGCTATCAATTATTACCGACGTTTTTAACTGTCGAAAACTATCGATATTTTCTTTACGAATATCGGTACTTATCGATTAATTCTTATTCTGATGTAATTTGGCTACACAGAAAAATTCGATTTCTTTTTAACAAGTGGACATTAGTTTTGAATGATTTAGAATAAAATTGTTCTGTATAAATGATATTAGGATTGGGTAGATAAGTCTTTTTTAAACATCAAAAAAGAAAATTTTTTAAATGTTCGTGAGAATATTGGTGTCGCAACGCTACCACGTCGCTTGATAAGTTAAGTTGCATCAAAACTGTATTTTGTATATATTCTAAAAAATATATATATATATATGATGTATGTATATATATATAATATTACATATATAATTACATATATAATTACATGTATAATTATACATATATATACATATGTGTGTGTGTGTGTGTAATGGAATACTAATAAAACACATAAACACAGCTGCACAAGTAATATCGGATAGAAGATCAAGGGTAAAAGCCAGAAATATTAACACGCTTATTTTTTAAATAAAAATCGAGATGGTTTTTTCTTAAAACATTTTTGTCGATATTCACAATTTTTATATATTTTTGATAAATATAATTAGAACGAAATATATATATATTTTTTATATTTAATTTAAAAAAGTCATAATTTTATACTTTATACAGTTTCGTTAAGAATTTATAAAATCACAAACCATGGAGTAACAAATTTCTATTAGATTGTAACTATTGAAAACTATCTATAAATATCGATAGTCTGGTATCAAATTAAACAGGCCTGCATAGTTTTGTTGATTGGCATCTGACAATGTTTTCTTACGTAATTTTTTGCGCTGAATCCGAATCACTGGCCGCAGAGAATCACTGGCCTCTATCATGTCAGAATTTCGAAATATCCTAAACCTAAAACCTAAATTTAAAACCTAAAACTACCAAAAAAACCATTTTCAACCATATTTTAAATTAAATTAAGAATTAAGAATATTTTTTTTTCAAATCTTTCAACAGTATCATTTATTACTATACGGCTCCTTCACCTTCACTGGCTGGATAGTCACCCACCTTGCCTTAGAAACTGGCTCCTACGAGGTACAATTTATCGAATTTTGAATTAGTATATCTCCGGGAGAAAAAATCGCTTTGGATGGTTCAAAATGGATTTTGAAGAGGCCATATAATAGTAAATGATACCGTTGACGGACAAAAAAATTTCTCAATTTTTAATTTAATTTAAAATATGGTTAAAACCGACTTTTTTGGTAGTTTTAGGTTAGGATATCTCGAAATCCTGACGTGATAGAGATTCTGCAGACGGATTCGGATTCAATGCAAAAAATTACGTAAGAAAATATTGTCAGATCCCAATCAGCTTTCAACACCTCCAATTTTGCAGGCCTGTGTTATCGACACAGTCTTCATCTCTAGTTGCTACATGCTTACGTACGCGTATTTGGACTGCTGACTTTTCCTTCCTTCTTTTCTTGCTAGGCTCCGTTCACCATTAGGCTTGTTTCGATTTATTCGAGAGAGTTTGCGAGAGTGAGAGAAAAAGAGAGACCGAACGAAAAAGATAGAAAGAGAAAGACAGAGAGCAATGGCGAAGGCCAATAATAATTATATACGCGAAACGAGAGCGTACTATGAAAGATCACTTAACTATCCGAGCAGGAGTTATCGATTCGTACCGGGGAATTTGCCACTTGAATTAATCAAGTAACGAGTCACAAAGGTGGGCTTACCTCCACGGATATTGAATAATTAGTGCGCGGCATGGAAACGTTCCTTATACCGTGGATCGCGTACGGGAAACTCGCAGAATTAACAAAGAACGTGCATTAAGGAAGGAAACGATAGCGAGAAGAAGAGAGAGAGAGAGAGAGAGAGAGAGAGAGAGAGAGAGAGAGAGAGAGAG